GATTCACAGGGAAGCAGAAGAGAGAAGGGCACAGGTTGAGGCCGAGAAAGGGGAAGGAATGCTCAAGTTAGAAGAGGCTGCTTCAAATTTCCGCACCAACGGATACGTCCCCCATACCCTCCGTTGTCGCCTTTGTTGTTGCTGTTGCTGTCGTCCCTGCTGTCAAAGCAAAAAGCAAAAAAAAATTATTTTGGGGGTGGCCGGTCCGGTACCGGAACCGCCGGTCTGGGTACCGGAATCGGTACCGGCCGGTCCGGTCACGGTACCGGTACCAAGGTGTGGCGGTTCCGGAACCGTACCGTGTCCACTCCTATATCCTACCTTCACGATTCTACTAGTTTGTTGTATGTAAAAAAAGCTATAAACTACTCTAGTATGATTGTATGAGCGTATGTACAATATACTCAAGGGTGATGATAGTCTTTTCACAATGGATGGGCTTGGCCTATTTTGGGCTTCGTATGCTTTGTTTCTTCATCCATTAATGGGCCACGGCACCATCCAGAGCCCAAATGATCTAAGCCCACATTGGGCTCTTCACCATTTCTCAAAGAGCCTTCTTCTCTAGACATTTAGCAGCTGTTTCAATGGATAATCTTTTATTCATAGCATTTGTATTTTAATCCATTTCTCACACAAAAAGGTTCCACCATACAATTGGCACACTTGTTAAGAAAAATTAAATTTTATAGTTGAAAATAGTCTAGAAAAGAGAAAAATAAAAAATTTCATAAATATAAAATAAAACTTTTAATTGAAATAGAAGAGAAAAGAAATGTGAAACTTTTTGTAGGATGAATTTTAGTAATTTCTTCTATTTTGGTAGTTTTCTAGAATGTTCTGAATTTTCTCTATATTATTGATTGAATTTTCTCTATATTATTGATGATGTATCTTTTAATATATCTCTATAAAAGTTCAATGAATATCGATATATATCATGTCTATATTTAATATACTTTTAATGTATCTCAAAAGGGACGGTTCCCATGTTTTGAAACCCATGTCATGGGATGACCCGAAGCCGCTATGATGTCCGGTTCACAAAATTGACGCTTCTTACTCGTTCTAACCCCCTTCTCCCGATAAACCCCCCGTCCTGATTCAAACGTACCCTCCAGCCCCTTCATTTATACCCCCAAATTTAGTTGACTTTATAGAGAGTATAAAAATAACAGTTCAATTGTGGCTTGACCCTTGTTTGAAGGCTGGACCCTTCCATTTTGTCTTTCTTGGAATTTATTCACTTTGGGCATATATATCTATAAATATATGAGAGGTTTCAAGTCTCTCAACTTTCAACTAAATCTTTCCAAAACTCTTCAGAAATGGTAAAAAGCAAGCAGCTATCTACCAAGCATTGGTCCCATTTTTCACTGTAAAAGTCCATTGTTCTCAATTCATGTGATAGTTATTTCTACAGTTAAGTTTCTAATTCTAAAATTAGGAAAAGAGTAGAATCAAAGGATGATTACTCACACAATTCAAACTAAATACGTACGTTTAGTCCCTTTTTCACTCTCTATTTTATTTTTTAAGTGTCCAGTTGGTTTTGTGTCGAACGTTTGACTAACAATATCTCTTAAACTATATTATCAACAAATTATGAAAAGCTACGTAATACTTCTTCCGTCCCACAAGGTTCTTGGTTTGATTTTTATGATATTTAAGAAAAAGATTTCTTTTGTGTTGACTTTTCCAAATTACCCTTGATGTGTTGTGTTAAAATGCGATATGATGGGAAAGCTATTAGTGAATAGGTATAATGTGATAAGTAGTATAAGAATGATATATGGATAAAAATATTTTTTTAATAGAAAGGATGAATTAATTGTAAGACATAAAAAAAGCAAAGAGAAAAGATTTGTGGGATAAAGGAAATATATATTAAAAGATTTTTTTCTCTATTTATTATTCTCATCTTGTTTATCCCATACCATTGATAGAGAGAAGATCTACTTCCTCCATCCTAAAAGTAAGTTTCACCTTACCTTTTTAATACTCGGTATACAAATTCAAGAAAAATTTTAATTGTGCACCAAGAGATGCATGCTTAAAAGAAAAATACATCTCTCAAGTAATTTGGATCAAATTCATTTTTGAAAACCAAATTCAAGTTCTCAAACATACTATAGTGTTTGAGAACTAGAATTTATTTGAAATCTCAGATTTCAAATCCAATATTTGAAATCATATAATTTTAAATTCCAAATCTTGTTTGAAAATTCATAAAATTTCACTTCTAAAATTTAAATTTTGAAATATGCAAATACGGTGATGAAAATGAATTGATATGTATGAAATTGTTGTTGCATAAGGTGAGATCACTTTTTAATTGAAAATTATAAAACACAGAAAAGTTATGTTTGAATTTGTAAATGATATTGAAAAGAATGTGAATTTGTATTTGTTTGTTTTGAATTGGAAGAATTTAGTCTAAATCTAAACTCTTTGAATTTTCAAACAATTAATTTAGGTAACAAAAGAATTCAAATAACTTACTTATCTCTTAGTTAACTTATGCTCTTCTAGTAGTAGATTAAACTCAATTCCATATATATGTGAATAATAATGTAGCGAAGTCTGGCTTGGGTATGCATGAGGTGTGGACTTTTAGTACAAAGTACAGACAACATGTTTGACATTTTATAAAATGGACAGTCTGCACGCCACATTATTACTCGAGTCCCAATTGGCCCATTATTATCATCCCAATCATTTATTATTTAGTATTCCTCCCGTTTTAATTTTTTTTTTTAATTAAAATTGATAGACTTTGATCATAAATAAAATAAAATTGTAGGTATTGATATAAAAATAATTTTATTAGATATATTTTTTAAAATATTTTCAAAATATTATTTATTTAATTAATATACCATATAATATTCATTTAACTATATGTCAAATACTGATATTGGTTAACTATAAAAAGTCAAAATTGACAAATATTTATAAGGGGTTACTCCGTAGTATAAAAAAGTATTGGTGTATGTATGGTATGACTACATGCAGCCGGCAGCACCTTTCTGTTGGGGTCCATAGAGGGGACATTTTTCCTCCTCAAATCACATGTGAGGACTATTATTTTTCTCAATTCATTGACCACATGGAATTAAAATTTCATTTATCTCCTCTCTGCTAAATGTTAAGTAACTGTTCGATCATTGAAGAAAAAAGACATTGCTATATTTGATTTTAGACATGAAATTTCGACACCATCAGAGACAATTATAGATGGAAGATGAAGAGAGTAATTAAAAAAATATAGGGAGGGAAAAGAAAAATAAAAAAGGACGAGCCTCATTCCCTAGAGCTCTCTCAGACCTAATCGGACGGTCATCGAGAGGAGATAAATTGGACTCTGAATGCAGATTAGTGAAAAAGAGTAAAGTCAACAACAGATACTTGCAGATGTCTTATACTTATAGAGCAAACTCATTTCTACATCTTGAAACTCATTATTTTTGCCAAATGTACAATACCCACGGGAGAGAAAAGAAAATGGAGTAGGATCTATGCATCACATACACCAGCCCATGCCCTAGCATCAGAGGGTATGTATGGAGGAAGGAGAATATGGACAATAGTGTCTTTAATTAGTTAGGAACACTCCTACGTGAAGGACGACTGGACTCACGCAAGGGCATGTGCACTTTCTCCCCTTATTTCACATCCCCACAAATAAGGTACAAGTTATGCTTTTTATGACTATGGGGAATGCATTTTTTTACTCCTCTCATGAATCTTACATACCCTCATGTACCTAATTTAAAGTTTGAATTCATGTGGGAGAAAAAAAAATACACCGTCTTTCCCAAAAGAAGTTAAATCATTATTCAAAATGAAGCGAGATTTCAAGGTATGATTTATTTAAAGGGTAATAGACATTGGGAAAAAGTTAAAGAAATAAAAAAGTTTAAGTCCTACATTGAGAAATGACTTATGTTTTAGTCATATTCAGTGCAAATTTCACTTTTTTAAATATTAGTATAGAAGTAAAAATAAAAATTATATATTTGAAAACCATGTAAAAAAAATTACAAGAAGAAGGTGCCAAAAATATTTTATTTTATCAACTAATGAATAAAAATACATAAATAAATAAGAATTTTCTAAGATATTAATAACAATTCTGCTACTTGTGTTTATACTTCTAGCCTTTCAGTCATTCATTTTGTTATACTTTGGTGATTAGTTTAAGAATTTAGCTCGTTATTCCAAGTGCAATAAAAATATTTATTTCGGTGGAGCTAATTTACATCATCACCTACAAAGTAACGTGATATTCTCATATTGCAATTAAACAAGACATTTAACAAGACACTACGAAGCAACACAAATCTTCTATGCCTTGGTTACGGACGAAGATTGTTGTACAAGTTTTGGCACAATGTGGGGTTGCGATGTAGAGATTGGGTGGGGGGGTGATGGACACCGAGGCGAGAAGAAGATAGCAGTATGCCACACGCCAAATTCTAGTTGGGGGAAGAGACAAGTAGGGGTGACGACGATGCTAGAGCAATAGTTTAGAGAGATCGAGAAATGGGATAACATTTGAAGAATGAGAAAACATTTCGTATTGGATGAAGTTTCTATGACATTAAGTTTCCATGTCATACGATGACATTGAAACAATGATTTTATGATTATACTTTTTAGAAAGCATTTAAACTTTTTATGATTCTCAATAGAGAGAATTGAAAACAAGTCAATTTGTTGGGGAAAATTTAGATTATGTTTAAGAATGTCATTGTGATTCGTGTTAATTTTTTAAATAAATTTTTAAAGATTAACAAAAGTCATTTTCTAAACTTTACCCCTAGCTAAATAATATTCATAAACCATTTTTAGATAAATTTTTATATTTTCAAAACACTTACACTAAGATAAACCATTCAATAACATTTACAAATTGAATTAAAAGCTAAAGTTAATATCAAACAAAATCTTAGGAGAAATGAAAAAGATGAGCACAAAATAATTTGAAAAACAAGTGGCCCAACTTATAGTGAAGTCCAAAGTTTACAAACATTTCAAATCCAATCCATTGCATTTACATTTTACTCCATATCTAGTGTATTCAACTACTCCAAAAAACTGTAAAAACTCAACGGAGAGGGTAAAAAGATCCCTTTTCACCTTTGACAAACCATAACAGATAAACGACCCACAAAATTTTCAACAACCACCGTAGACATCGGCGACGCCGGTATGACTGCGCCGCCGGCCCGTTTCAAAAGAGCCCGAAATCGCGTTTTTAATTTCTTCCGCCGCCCACGAGTCCGGTTTTCGAGCCGACGACAGCCGCCGCACTGCACCCAAGCCCGGCGGCTCCGCTGCTAATTCAACGCTTATTGGGGCGTCGCGCTTTTTTGCTCCTCCGCCGATGTTCCGATCCGGATCCGGATCTTCCAGTTTTGGGGCCGGTTTCAGTCTCCGATTCGGCTTGAACAGGGAAAGTAACCTCGAATAAAAGCCGATCTTATCCTTGTTTCCCACGGTTATGGTTCGATCGCCGGCCGAGCTTTCTCTAGTTGAGGCGGATTTCCGGCACCCGCGCTTCGATCTGACTCTTCCCATACACGAGACCTTCGGAGAACCCGGTTCGGCGGCGGTTTTTTCAATCGATTCCGATCGCTTAGGGGGGAAAAGCCGGATACTGGCCGGCTTGGTGCAAGTCTTCCAAACGTAGTTCATCTTCTGAGTCTTGGGAAACCCTAACAGAGAGGCTTTGGGCTTAACGAACCTCTGAGAGCTCGAATTCGGACCCGGGTTAAGATTCGGGTGCCCGGTCTGGTTCGCGTTTATTCCCTTGGCCGATTCCTTCCGCTCTAGGAAAGCGTTCTGATCGAACCAGTCGATCTCGGCGTCCTTGGACAAACAGAAAGATCCCGGCGGGAAATCCGGCGGCGCATCCTTCGCGACACCATCGTCTCCGGCCAATGTTTCGCACGCGACTTTCCTGTCGGTTGCACCGCCGCCGGCACAGGCGGAGACCAATGTCTCGATATCGACTTGAGGAGGCATTTTAGTGAGGGAGACCGGAGAATTTTAGGGGGAGAGAGAAAGGAGGATGCCGGAGACAAGTTGGACTGGAATCTGCCGGAAAAGAGATGGGGAGGGAGGCAATTTATACAGTTGGGACTTAAATAAATTAGTCAAAAATGACCTACTTGTTGTGTTTCCTACATCTCTCATGGCTATTCCTTAACCGTTCGAATATTTAAATTTATGGTTTAAAAAAAAAGTGTAAATTATTTAGTCCTTACATATTAAATATTAATAATTTAATCATAAATTATTATATTGTTTTTAACGAATAGTCTTTTGTTAATATTTTTGTTAAAAACATAAATAAGATTGTAAATTCACGCTCTCTCTCTCCTTAATTAATCTTTCTCCTTCTTCTCCCACTCCTTTCCCAAATCCGTCACTGAGTTTGAAGCTTTTAATCCAAAACTGAAATCATCACTCATGTCTCAATTATTCGTCTTCTTGGAGGAATCTAAAATCGAAACTAGTAACCTTAATAGATGAGTTATAAGATTTGTTTTCTTCCTGAGATTAATCCATAAAACTCATCCGCGAAAGTTATTGGTTTCAATTTTGGGTTCCACCAGGAAGATAAACGATTGAGAAAGGAGTGATCGTTTTGGTTTTGAATTTAGAGCTTCAAACTCAGCGACGAGTTTGAGAAAGGAGTGCGAGAGAAGGGAGGAAGCTTAATTAAAAAAAGAGAGGAGCGTGAATTTACAATTTTATCCATATTTTTAATGAAAATTTTAACAAATGATCACTCATTGAAAACAATATAATAATTGAGAACTAAATTATTGAAGTTTGATATGTATAGACTAAATATGTAAAATAAACTATAAATGGGGATCTTTTATGAAATTTACTCAAAAAAAAGACTATTAGAGATAGTTAACGTGAACAAAATAAATGCAAGTAGGGCTACCCACAACTCCACAACATGTACCTCAAAGTATATAACAAAAATATGTACTTCGTGTATTAACATTTTGATGTTTTTCACTTGCACAAAATGAAGGTGTATATCTATGATGTATACTTTGAGGTATAATTTTTTAGGGATAAGTAGCTTAATTTAACTAATGAAAAATTATGTAAAATAATCTCAATTTTATCTGATCATTCAAAAATACTCACACCTCTCACTATGATGTATAATAATCCAACTTTACTGAATTTTACGAATTTTGGGTTGTTGTTAAGTTCCTAACGGCGATTAAGGGAAATGACATGTTTTACTTAACAAAATGAAAATTGGAATTATTTTTTATGAGTTTTTGTTTTTTATTTTCATTTAAATTTTTAAAACAACTTTTTACCTCCGTTGCTTTTTAGTTTTTTAAGGATTAGTCTTGCTTTAGAATAAATAAAAAAAATAGATATAAGACATAATGGAAAAGAGAAAAAAATAGATATAAGACATAATAGATATATTTTGTATAGTGCCTAAAATGTTAAAACTACTACTCCATGTGAAAAAAAGACAAAAAAAATGGGAGCAATTTGTCTTGCGCATGGCTTGCAACTTGCAAGGCGTGAAGAATTGCCTCAGCCACGCAAGGCATTTTGGAATTGGGCTTATGTGGCATGCGTGGTAATGGCAAAGCCACTGCCGATGATCTTAGGATCTTTAATCTCAGAGAGCCATAATTAAGTCGCTAAATCCAGGATCTTTGAGAATAATCCAGTGAAGTTAAATGTTAACCATGTGAACTACTTCAATTTTGTAAAAAAGACTATATAGTAGTAAAATATTGAAAGTATACTAAAATAGGAGTTTAATGTTTTTCTTTTAGAAATATGACTTAAAGTGCATTTACAATGCCGATTATGATCATATGCATTACCAAAAAACATAATGAAATATCCATATACAATGTCACATTATCAGAATGCGAATTCTTATTTAGGAAATAAAAATATGACTTCCATTTTAGCCATTTTTCTATATTTTACTCCTATTTAGGTAACTTTTTCAATTTACACTCATAACCTCTTATTAGACAATGAGTAGTGGGGCTTGATCCCGGGCGTGAATGTGGGCATCACGACGTGATCATCGACCACCGCTGGCGTGACGGATGCGTGACAAAGGGGGCTTGACGATGGTTACGGGCATTGTTGTTCTCTTTCTTTATTTTTTTACTCCGTATCTTTTTAACAAACTCGGAGTAACAAACAATCAAAATTTAAAACATTTCTGATTTAACCAATTAAAATAATTCACACTTTCACGATCACCCCCTTCACACATATTTTTACAACTTCACATTATATTTATTTACACTTCAATTCATCAAACCCTTGGTTAACTAAAACAAGAAGTCAAACAACAAACGTTGTGTAATTTCTTCTTCTCGCATGTGAGGAAGAAAATGCGGTGACGTATAGAGCTGAGCCTTGAGGGCGCCGGCGAATTGGTGGCCCACGAAGCGCTGTTGGATGGTTTATCCGCCAGGGCATGCAGTTGTTCGATCACATACATTTCAATTTTGATTTGATTGCTACGAAATTGATGCCGGGTCTGGTCCGGCTTGATTCGGTTACGTTCTTAGAGCATTTACAATGGGGATGATCGAGGCCTATCTAGCCGAAAGAATAAATAGCCGGGCCGCGGCTCGGCTCGTTGCAATGGACGGCTGGTGCGATGGAGGCTAAAAAAAATTTTTTAAAAAAAAGATTTTGATTTGGCGCGGTTGATTGTTACAATGGACAGTCACCCGCCCAAAATCGCTGGCTTTCGCGACCGGCCCGCACTGTGACGGAATATCCGCCGGTTGCCACGCATTAGTAGCCCGGCGGCCGGCGTGGCGGAATTTATGTTATTCTTTTTTTTTGAGTAAATTCCATAAAAGGTCCCCAGTTATAGGTTGTTTTACATATTTAGTCCCTACATATCAAATATTACTAATTTAGTCCCCAATTATTATATTTATTTCCACGAATGGTCCTTTGTTAACATTTTCGTTAAAAACGTGGGTAAAATTATAAATTCACACTCCTTTCTCTCCTCAATTAAGCTTCCCTCCTCCCTTGCACACCTTTCTAAAACCCGTCGCTGAGTTTCTAGCTTTGAACCCTAAACCAAAATCATCACTCTTCTCTCAATTGTTTATCTAACTGGAGGAACGATCATTTAAGTTTTGGATTTAAGGGATTCAAACTCAGCAACGAGTTTGGAAAAGAGTATGAGAAAATGAAGGAAGCTTAATTGAAGAGAGATAGAATTATGAATATACAATTTTGTCCACGTTCTTAACGAAATGTTAACAAAGGACCATTAGTGGAAATAAATATAATAATTGGGGACTAAATTAGTAATATTTGATATGTAGGGACTAAATATGTAAAACGACCTATAACTGGGGACATTTTATATAATTTACTCTTTTTTTTAAATAATTTTTTGACCTATTATTATCATTATTATTTTTTATTGTATATTGACATTTCATAATAATTCTTAGTATTTTATATCGACATTATGAATCTTATTTTGTGGGTATATAAGAATATACGGAGTATAAAGTATTTATTTCAATTATTTTCCTATATTTTATTCTTGATTTACCATTGTGAATACTTTGAATTGGTTTTGATTTTAATCAAAATTTAAAGACAAAAGTTGAGTGTGTACCATTATTGGGCCTAAAAGTTTCTCCAAAGATTGTCCATGTGCGTGTGTCAATTAGCAATTCACAATTGCGAAATTAATGATAATGAGAATCAATACATGCATATACTCCAGATTAAGCTAATAATGCCTTAATTATGGATTAGCAACCGATAATAATGCCTTAATAATGGGCGAAAAACACTAACCCGAACACTAACCGATAATAATGCATTAATAATGGGCGAAAAACACTAAACAGGTCTGTGTGAAAATAGCGTGAGAGATTAACGTCAGCGTTTTAGATAAAATTTTAACGGTGTAAATCACTGTGAAAACGCTAACGCTAAACGTTGCCTATGGATAACCTTTTCAAAACGCTAATCTCTAACGATATTCTCAAACAGACTCTAATGTAATGCTGGACTAAACTCCAAATTAAGTTAATTATATATCGCGTACAAGGTGGGGAGGGATCGACCCCTCAACTAAATTAGTTCATGAACACCAAAACATGCCTAATTAGCTTTGTCTCTACCTAGTACGCTTCACAAGAAAATGATTAAAGTGTCACATGTGAAAAATAATTATAATAATCACTCCCTTTATTAATTAAGGAACTAGTTCAATAAAACAAATCTTTTTAGTATTGGTCCACATTTATTTTTATTTTTTTGATAATTTAACAATTCCTTGTCCCTTTCTTCACAGTTCACATGCACTATCTTTGTAAAACTAAGAGTCTGTTCTTTAGGACTGAAAAAAAGCTAGATATTGGAAAAAACTGGAAGGAACTAGAAGAAATTGGAAAGAACGGGAAAAATTGAAAGAATTGAAAGGAACTGGAAGGAACTCGAAGAAACTGGAAGGAACTGGGAAAAGCTGGAAGAAACTGAAAAAAATTAGAAAAAATTGGAAAATCTAAAAAAAATTATTTTTTTATGTATTTTTATATTATTTTCATTCTAATTCTTGTTGTTATAAATTAATAATGTTATTATTATTAATATTACTATTTACTAGTAATATTAATATTAATTATTATTATTATTATTATTGTTGTTGTTGTTGTTGTTATTGTCATCACGTTATCTTAATGAATACTTTTAAGATAAAAAATATTACGAGTATTATTCTTCAAACAAAAAAAACTATTGAAAAAAAAATTAATTAGAATATAAAATTAGCATAATTGCTAAACAATGTTAAAAGAGCAGTCCCAAAACAGAACAGAAAATACTTGTACGATTTTAATTTAGAAAGTCATAAAGCATTATTAAGATAAATTAAAAGGGACAGGAATTCAAAGGTGTAGAACTTATAATATGATGCGATCGAGAAATATTTGATATGTTTTGAATATTCCGAACACAAAAATAAAACCCAGTATATATATATATATATATATATATATATATATATATATATATATATATTTTAAAAAAAAAATCTAAGAAGACTTAACGACGGACTCGAGTTCTTTTCACTTGTACTTTTTCAACTTTGAAGTCGCGTGCCCCTTTTTGACAATCTATAA